CATAAGTTTAGAAAAAGAATAAGAAGGCCTAGATGCTTTTGTTAAATGGATATATAACACTCAGACACATGCAAGCACTCACCCAGACGTCAGTGGTCACATTTAAGTCAACTGGCTAGTACAGTGTTTACAAATCTATTAATGAAACTCCTAACTGGCAATCTGCAAACAGAGCCACAGTATCTAAGAACAAGTGATGATATTTTATTTTTTCTGATAATATTGAATCATATGAAATGCAGGCAGTTGTAACAGAAAAAACATGCTTCTGATTTGACTGATGACTCAAATCAAAACTGCTGAACTTCAGAAAAGCTTTCAGGATGTAAAGGCCGGAAAACTCAGTCTCATATGGTACTTAATGATCTAAAAAATACATCACTAATAACAAAGAGCTGGATCAGATGGCAAAAGTTAAAAATTGAAATGAGGATTCTATGTTCTAACATATTAGAAATGGATTGGTTGACGACACTAAAACATAGAAATGAGGTTTGTATGCCATAATGTATATAAATTCCTTTTCGTTACCCATGAAAAAGATATGCTACATACTGTAAAATCGATAACATTACCAGGTCAAATACAGATATCTAGTTTTGTAATCAGAAATCATTTGTTTCATTGATTAGTGAGGTGATTAGTATTTGTAAAAGGGCATTTTGGAAAGCAACAGTCCAGACTATGGCTAATATTGCTGTGATACACTACAGTATGTATAGTAAAAACATTGGACATTTAGATTGTTCCCTCAGATTCTCAGCCAATCAACAAGGTTGTAGTCAACTTTAGCTGATGATGCATGGAGAAATTGAAATTGTGTATTAATAATATCTGATCCTAAATAAGAGATATAATGTTCTAGATTGAACTAATATATTCAATGCACTGTGACAAAGTACGTCAATAAAACAAAAAACTCAAATTACTTACCCAAAGACCCATAAGGAAACTGCAAAGACCATTGTACAGATCATCACCCACTCATTCCTTGTCGCAGGTCCCATTTCTTCCAGTCTCTTTGTTGCTATAGCAGGTGCATCTGGTGTATCCTTAATTTCTGGAGGGAAGATCTTATACAAAATATATGGAGTAACCAGAAGAGAGGCTATGGCAGGTAAACTTGCAGCCTCAAACCATGACAACCATGGACTTGCAATATGGATCCCTAGTTCCTCGGCTAATTTAAGGCATAACAGATTTTGAGCTGCAGCAGTTAGGAAAAGTGCGCTTGAATTACTGGAAGACTGAAATGAGTCAGAGAGAAACAAAAAATGAATGTCTTCAGTCTCAGCACAAAATGAAGATAAAGAACCAGAACAGAATGATTCAAGTATATGAAGCTTTTAAGAATTATCAATTTTTTGAAAAGGAGACAAGGAAGCATGAATAATAAACATATTTCATGCAACTTCAACTTAAACTACATGCTCTGGGATTTCAATGATTATCGTGCTGCCAAACTAAACTTTCTCAACTATATGAAACACTAACCAGTAGTTATTTATAACATGAATTTTTAAGAAAATGCATAGAATTGAAAAGTTATATCCTACGTCATCAAAATATTTTAGTTGGAAAATCAATCAAGTGATGAACTGTATAAAATTAAGCATTGTGATATTTAATGATATTGTGAAGAGAAAATAAAGCACATTTGAAGTATATGGGGCCTATTATTCAGCATTTAGAAGAAATTGATGAAGATATTATTTACAGAACAAAAGTTGGATGGTTATTAAAGTGAAGAGAGATGTCAATATTTTTGTGTGATTACCGTGAGTCCCTTTTGTCAAAACTAATATTTTGCAAGATGTGTTATAACTTACAAGGTCAACCATGTTTTAAGATTTTTTTAGTGCTGAACAATGAAGAAGTTAACATCTACGAAAGTTAGTACAGCTTAAATGGCACTGCAGAGTTACAATAAAATGAAAAAATGTCATCATTCACTGATAATTAGGTGTATACTTTCACACACAATGTACAAATGAAATTCAAAATATTCCTCTATTCGTCAGTAAGATCCTGAAAATTGAATATGATCATATTTATAGATTTAGCAACCAAGGCTGTTAGACATTTTAACAGTAAGGCCAAATACAAGAAATGCCACTTTAGTAGTAGCAGTAGAAGAGTTCAAAAAATGACAAACAGAAGACAGACATTATCAACACCAAAGTTTTTTATATAGATTAATTATTTAAGAGGAAGGATAGATTAAAGGGATTGTTTGCAGGATTAGAAATGGTCGACGTAGAGAGGCATATCACAAATGTTGTTTGATGGTTGTAACCTATAGATTACAAGAAAAAGTTTTACGATACTTGTAAAGCATGCGATAATATATTAGTGCCATTGGGCAATCAAAACCAAAAGAGTAAACACTCATTGATTAGGGGATATTAATATCGATGTGTGAGTTGAAAAAATATAGAATAAAAATGTTTGCATTTCTAAACAGATAAGGACAGCATGAATCAATGTTAATTCATGAGAACCAATCTAAGTTGACTTTGACATGTCCAAAGATCTATAAATGCATCAAAGTAGGGCAAGTTAGCTGTCAAATATATATGGTGCCAGAAGAGATAAGAGGAAGACTCAATAAGACTATTAGAAAGAACCAAGGCACTTGGTTGGCTCTTACTTTAGTAGTGATATTGTTCTCGATAGAGCCCATTAACATTTTAAAGGATGCATATAGCCAACTGCAAGAGTTAGAACCTATGGCTTGCCATTGTTATCAACCTATGGCTTATCAGTTGTTATCAAATTCAAAAGGGGATCTTTCATTGAGTTTTTGACAAACAACATAGAACCTGGAGGATAAGAGTTCAGCATTCTCCTGTGGGAGGAGGAGGAGGAGGAAGCCAAATGTATTCTCTTATTAACGAAGAGAAAATTTTGTATATTGCTAATGTGAACAATAGGTATCAGAAAGATTTATAGAAAAATAAATGGAAAAAAAGGTTATCTTTTTGTGCTCAAGTCAAAAGAGGTGACATGAATCAGAAAACAAAGCCAGGCAAAAAGGAATAAGAGGATCAAACCTGGAACTGGGACATAACCAGATAGGATCCAAGTCTACCGGCCGACCGATCTCCTGGCTCACTCCCGGCGGAGAGAGACAGCGATTGGATGATTGGCAAGAACACCCCACCGGCCCTTGCGGTGGTGCTGGGCATTGCAGGGGCGATAAAAGCCTCACTGAAGGTGAGCCCATACGAAAGCCCCAGTGTGCTCTTCCCGAGCCACTTCACGAAGAAGGTGGCAATCCTATCCCCGAGCCCAGTCTTCACGAAGCCCCTGGCGAAAAAGAAGGATATCACGATTAACCAGATCACCTCGTTCTCGAACGCATCGAATGCTGCGGAGAAGGTAAGGGTCTTGGTGGCGACAGAGGCGGTAAGGCCCAGGAAGGCCCAAGCCGCGATTGGGAGCGGGCCGAGAATGAAACCGGTGATGGTGGAGAGGAAGATGGCGAGGAGCTGCCACGCTTGCGGGGTGACCTCGGCGGGTGTGGGGACGAGGAACCAGATGGCTAGACCGACGGCGAGGGAGATTGCCAGGGGGATAAGCTTCGCGCCCTCACGCGGAGGCGGCAGCGGAAGAGGAGAGGAGGCGGGATTTGGAGAATCGGATTGGGACGAGGAGGAGCGGGCGGGGAAAAGTGAGGGTTTCGGGCGGCGACGGCGGCGGTGGCGGATGGAGGGAGGGTACGCCGCGGAGGGCTGAGGAGGAGGGCGGAGGGGGGTGGCAGAGATGAGGCGGCGGCGGGAAAGGGCGGGGATGGGCCGGCGGCGGAGCAAGGCGGAGGGGCGGGCAGCGAGCGGGGAGGCCATGGGCTCCATCTCCGCAAGGCTCGGCGGCTTGGAGAGAAGGGAGAGATTGGCCGAGGGTCAGCCGAAACGCCGGTATTAGCGAGAGGAGGAGTTCCGGCCCTCAGGCTAAGAGCGCAGCGGTCAGCCAGTCGTTGGTATGTAACCAGCGCCACCGGCGGTTGAGCGGATAACGGCTACCGCGGAACAACGAATATTAGCTACGTTAGCAGCGACGTGACCATCGACGTCGAATCTCCTGTACCCTAATTCCTAACGGATTCTAAACAACGATGGAGCCCACTCTTCATCCAATGACATACCGTATAAGAGAACGGGTAAACCATTGTAGTATTCGTGTAGCATATACGCATGGCGCTTGCGCGATCCCGTGGGAGTAAATACCTAACTGAATAATATTTTCAAGTATGTCCGCGTTCAATTCTTTTCCCACTCACTTGTAAGGCACACAGTGACTCGGTACACTCATCTGTGTGTCTTATTGTGGGACCCACTCTTGAAACGCTGCGTCAAATCATGGTACGTTAAAAGAGGGGGTAACTATTACGTAGATAAGTATAATTTTTATAGCTTGTATACTTAGTATACAAATAATGTATAATTGATAATGTGGATGTGCTAATTAGTGTATATATGTATATATATATATGAAACTATTATAAGATATCATAATCATCGAAGATGATCCTCTACCGTATGTACTTCACTAATAATTCAATCATTGAGATGAGAGGTTGTGATCGACTGATCGAGTAAAACTCCAGGAAAGGAGTCAAACTGTAGAAGAAGATGGACTTGGCTTGACGTTGGAAAGAGGGAGCATGTTGTGAGAACCCAATGCCATTGACTCAAAAACATTTCTTTCAAGAAATGGTGTGAACAACATTAATCTATCTGTGTGGATGCGGCCATGTGATTGCGTAGATACAGAGAGATGTAAAATACAGAAGAAAAGGAAAGAAGATTCCATGAGACTTTGACGTAGTCAAGCTATAGTCTTTGAATTTAAATACATTCTAACTTGAGGGTCAAATAATCTTATCGGATATGCACCTGATTTAAGTTTTGTAGGAGTTCAATCCACCCCCTTTCATCCCAACAGTGATATTATCGACAAATTAGAGAACCAAAGAAGTATAATGATGACTACAAAAATCATATTATCATTTGAAATCATCATTCCCATATAAAAGAAAAGTCACTGCCACTCCAAATAAATCAAAAGAAGCATCAACAATCACCATATAGAAAAAACACTCTCTTATTCTCTAATGCAACGAGTGATGAATACGGAAGAAACGACGCAATGGAGTAGTAGTTACAGCACTGTCTCTTTCCTGGCCAAGCCTAGAAGACGCCGAGCTTGAGCACCACCAGCCCCATGAAGGCGACCGTGGCGTGCACCGGCGAGAGGCTCCCGGCGCCGGAATTGTTGTTGTTGGTGGTGTTGGTGGTGGAGCTGGATGGAGGTGAGGGTGAGGTGGGGGATGACTCTGCGACGTCGACCTCCAGCTTCATGCCTTGGGTGCAGTGGTTGGATATCCCGCAGATGAAATAGTGCTTGCCGGAGGTGTCCAGGTTGATCGTCGTTTTGCCGCTGTTGTCGCTGCTAATGGGGCTGCTGCTCGAGCAGGCGTTGTAGGCAGCGGCGTTCACCTTCTCGACGTTGTGCTGCGAGGCGGCGTATTTGAAGACTGCAGTGGCCAAAACGTGGATTCGATCAGAAGTTGGAAGCTGCTTACAAACTAAGGAGAACGCCGATCATGGTGCGTCGAAGAACTAACCAAGATTGTCGCCGACGACGAAGGATTTGCCGCTAGTCCATGTAGTGTAATCGAAGTCGAGCTTCCAACCGGAGGAATCGCCGACGGAGTAATCGGTGGCCGAGACCCACGTCGCACAACAAAGGAGCAGGAGGGCACCCGAAGCTACGGAACTGCGCCTGGCCATTTCAAGCTTTGTTCTAGAGATAAGGTTGTGAGATGAGAAAAGATATGCAGCTTGCACACCAGATAATGGAGGATTAGGGTCCCATATAAATAAATATCTTTGAGGGCGTGGTTAGGCTGCATGTGAGTGGACCCTCTCAAATATTACTCTTAGCTTTAGAACTTTTCTAAGGCTGGAGAATACCTTCGTGCCAAGCAAGTGGGTGACTCTTTTATGTCATGAAACATGCATTGGTCATCGGTCAAAATTTTATTGGTATACATCCTTATCTTAGCATGTGAAATTAAGATGATATCATTTATTAAGATATCATTCCTTCCTGCTCGTGTCCCCGACAAGAGATCTATCAACATCTGCAGACGGGTAAAACCTTCTCACAGCCGCCTCCCACCGAGAAAAGTTGACTCTGTCGAGGCACACAACGGGGATTAGGATTGCTTACAGCCACCGACTCCACGGAATGGGCGTTCATTTGCTCGCTTATGATCATACATATCTGCAGTCTCCTTTAACATACTGGGGATTAATGGGCATGTCTATCTCCCTTGTCCTTTTGTCCTTTTGTACCTTTGATGAATCCTTTCATCAAAGTGTGAGCATAACTTGGTCGCCAAGGTGACTTCTATTTTACCAGGCTTGGAATGAGCTGCCAGCTAACGCGATTCCTATCTTCGATGACCTGCAGCTTTGGTGTTAGATGATATGCTGTGCATCATCGTTGTCCTCCGCCTTTGGAACGAAAAGAAGTGTCATATGTTGGAAAGAATAGAAGACAAGAAGAATTATTGAAAAAGTTATTTTACATCGAAGCTATTCTTCCCCTATTTCGTAAGATGGTATTTCTATCAAGAATACCAATCTTGGATCAATGCAAAGCAAACAGTTTATGAGCGAGAGGCTTCGTGAGTAGAACAAGAGTAGATCGTTGCTACTGCTGCGGTTGTAGCTACTGAGAAAGCTGTAGCTGCTGAGAGCAGAGGAGAAAGCTACAGCAATGATGCAATAGAGGAGATAGCTACAACGATGCTATAGCAGAGGAGAAAGTTACAGTGATGCTACAACAAAGGAGAAAGGTGCAGCAAAGGAGGTAACTGCAATGATGCTACAGTAGAGGAGAGATAGCTACAGCGATGCTACAGCAAAGGAGGTAGCTACAGTAGAGGAGGTAGCTGCAACGATGCTACAACAGAGAAAAAAGCTGCACGATGCTACGGTGATACTACAGTAGAAGAGAAAGCTATAATAGAGGAGGTAGCTACAGCAAAGGAGGAAGCTGCAACAGAGGAGGTAGCTACAATGATGCTACATCAGAGGAGGTAGCTGTAGCGATGCTGCAATAGAGGAGGTAGCTGCAATGATGCTGCAGTAGAGGAGATAGCTGCAACGATGTTACATTAGAGAAGAAAGTTACAACAGAGAAGAAAGCTATAGCAATTTGATAGAAAAATCTGTAGCAATTAGCTCTTAGCAGAAGCTGAGGATCGACAGTTGACAACGAGGCAGACCACTACCAAGGGCGAGCAGCCAGCCGTACCAAAACAAGCCCTCGTTGTTGTGGTCGCACCTGATGGCGATGCCGAGTGTGGTCACGGCAACGACTGGTGTAGCAACGAAGACGTCACGCACCGTACAGCGGACAAAGAGAGGAGTCCGATAGGAAAGCGAGTTCGACAGGAAAATATTATTAGCTATCATCATCATCACTAACACATTATTGTTGGCATATCTTATCTTATCCTAAATCTATGATGTGAAGTATCGTTCGAAAAAGCAATAGCATTAGTTTTGGATGCGATCTGATTTACTTGAAGCCGGCCTGGTTGACTGAAGAACAAGGTAAAAAGGTCAGGGAGACTTCAGCTGTTTCTGCCATGCGTGGAACTCTTCCGAGAAGGTTTGAATGAGGTTGTTGATGATGTAGATTTATTTCTGACACTATACCAAAGTTCATAAACAGTAGATATCAACAATGAATCATTTAAAAGATTGAAAAAGCAACGCATAACTTCTACAAAGTTGCAGCTCTCCCTGTCAGAAGCATGGGCAATACAAGCAAGACTTTTTACATGCAGTGAACTGCTTGTCAAGTTCTCGTTCTTTCCATCACTCGTGGGCTGATCTTATGGATTCTAAACATACTGCTGGGTTTGACTTGCTGTTTAATTTTCATCCCTCTGCATTACACCAATTTTTCGTCATACACAATCCCCTACTTTGTTGTACATAATGGATAGGCTATCGAAGTAAACTACGGCACCTGAGAGTCAGAGGATTTACGTTGTCATCCGCAGGTCTCTCGAGAATCCAATTTGTTTGGGGTTGCTATTTTTTGTTGATGAGCACCCTTTTCTCATCTGACAAGTGGATCAACTGTTATCTCACTTTCATCGCTTGCAACCTTAATTTTCCCTGTTCACTTACTTGTGTTGGATTAAGAAGATATGAAGCAGCATAACTTTAGTGCCGATGAAGATATGAAGCTCATCTTCCAAGAGCTTCGTTCAGTGTCTGCTCTGATTAGTCGTCGATACACAGTATTATAGTTTTCTAGTAGATAGGAGAGAATTGTGAATGCTTCTTTTAGAATATAAATGAAAACACGAAAAGAAATAAATAGAGTGAACAAAATACATCATTCCAAGCAACCATTCTAGCTTGATGTCCATGGCAAGAGAAACTAATAGAACACCCAGAACCATATGACATTGACAAATATAAGAAAAGGAGGATGAATGTCAATTGATGAGTTAATTTACTAGAATGAAATCCATGTTGTGGTTGAAATGTTTAGATCCTTCACCAATCAATATGAATATAAGATGTGCCACTAGTGGGTCTAGTTTTAATACTATATAATAAGATCATTAAATTTGACTGTAGATGCACCCATTCCTGCATCCTTCCCTTCTTTATCAGCAGTCTGTTCCATCTGCAAAGCCCCCTTCTTCTTCAGGTTTCCTACAACAGGAGATCTTAAATCAATCAAACAATTCACTTATAAGAGAACTCATGTCTGTTGTTCAAGTAAATTGAAAATTAACCCCATTTTTTCCCTTGCAAACAACATGTTCCTGATAAGATGATAACAAGAGAAGGCTCAGAAGAGAAGAAATGAACTTAACCTTGGATTAACTTCTTCACTGCAATAATCTATTACTGGATAAAGATAACATCAAAAGGATGTGTTGTTTTGCAATTGGCTGAGGACAAGGTTTCTTCAACAGAAACGAAGACCAAATAAACAAGCCAACCCTTTCATCTGCAGGGTCAAAAAAGCCTGTGATCTTTCTGAGACTTCATTTTTGGTCCCTTCAACATCTCTTCGGATGGAAAATTTCTTCTCCAGTAGCCAATCAATGGAGCTGAGAGGGACTGACATCAGTCCTTCTTTAAGTCAACAGGTTGTTGGTAAGTCTTGTTCCATCAACACTTCCATTTGCCACTGGTGATCATGTGTAAACTAGCAAAGAGACTGATCCGTAGAAAATTTAGGTTCTGTGATTTGATTGAAGCAAATGTTCCTGTCACTCCCTTGATGGAGTCATCCAAACTCAAAGAAACATGGTACCAAATTTGAGATAAGTTGGACTCTGCCTCTAGTTTTAATCCTCCAACTTTACTAGTACTGAGCAATCATCTGAGATAAGCTAACCTGCCATTATGTGCAGGAACTGGACTCTGCTTCAACCATCATACAACTTGACATTTTCATCAGAATCACAATAATTATTCAGTTTAAAAGAGAAAGAAAATAAGGACAATTCAGCTGCTTCAACTTCAAACATAGGGTATGATATTCTACTAGATTGAAAAGATTAAATTAATAAAGTGTGACACAAACACAACCCTCTTTTATAATCACATTTGCTCATCTTCCAGAATCACTTTTGAATGCTGCAAGAATAGAACATCTTGGACAGGCAATAATGAATCTGACAAATTGTATGAGCTTAGTCAAATGATGTAAAACATGGTTGAACATCTGACAATTGTATTATGATATCTGAAGCCTACATAGAAACATGCCTAGACTTAAATATGTTAATAATTACTTCTGAATGTCAGATTGAACAGCTAACTTGTCAGATTCACAAGGGAAAAGCCATGGTCAGGAATGGTGGTTGAGAACTGATGCTTAAAATATCTATATCCGGCATCATCATTGATGTAAAACAAATACAATAAAAGAGAGCTCATGCAGCAAATGGTTGGTACCTGTTGTAGACTTGTCAACTGATGAAATTACAAGTGTCTGCACTAGGTTTATATTTTCAGTATTTGTACCTATTGAAGAATAAGCTAAAAAAACACAGAGAAAAACTCTTACCAATAAAATAAATAGCTAACTTCTATACAATACAATGATCAACAATCGGAAGCTTTATTAAGCACTGTTGTTCATCCATTTCAATCACATGCTCAAAGAGAAGGATCTTCCTATGGATATTTTGGAAATTTTGCTACTTCCCTTATCATCACTTTGATATTTTAGGATTTGCTGAAAACAGACAGCTTCACGGTATCAGATTGCTTACCACAATCTGAGGTGGAGAAGCGAGGTCTACCAGGGTGGGTGGTCACCATAGATTGATTACCTCGGGTGGCCATGAATATAAGTATCTACCACAAAGTCAAACACATCCCACCAATGCAGGGTTAGTGCTGCCCTGGGTTCAACGAAGGGTTGAATTGAAAGGCCACTCGAATTGCCCAATGATACAATGTACTTTGACCGTCTCAACTTGGATTTTTCTTCGAAATGCCTCTTGCAGGCATAACCACAAACACAAAGGCGACAGTGAGGTCCGGCAGATAGACCTTCCCTGTCTAAAGTAAATGTTTCCATGGGGGCTCCACCGTTGATTTTAATCACAAGGCAGGTAGGTGATGGATAGAAGCACGGCCCGATGGAATTCTTGAAATGGAGAGATAAAGCCTCTGCGCGGTCGATAAGGAATGCCCAAAGTTTCGTCCACTAATTGCGGTCTACATTTCGTGGCCCCAACTTTCTCCCATTTTCGTACCCGTCTGACTGCACCTGGTGCAACTTGACTGGAGAGCCGAAGAGGTCCCACAAGG